GAAGTTACTATGAGAGTTTATGAAACAAAATGGCATGTTAGGTTAGGTGGTGCTTGGTTATGACCCTTTATTTGCCTTGGGCCTCCAGAAAATTCTCACATGTTTCCTACCACATCATAGCTTGCTCTGTCCACTCCAGGCCACAGGTACCTGAACTCTCTGCTCTCCCTGAGTCTATGCAGAAGGTCCAGACAGGTAACCAATGCTCAATTCTTGTTCTGTCTCACTCACTCGGCCAACTCAGATGGCCCAGATGTGGTCTCTATCATTAGTGTTAACTACGATGATCATTAACTCTTTTTTTAAAAAAAAATTTACTGAATTTATTGGAATTTGTTTCAATGGGCATTGCCTGGAATGATCTGGAACTGTGGTCTGCTGTAGATGGTGATTAATCATGGTTCAGTTGTGTTATCCTAATTTCAGACTGAAGCAAAAGATGGGAGAGAAAGAGAAAGCAGGGATTAAACCAAATGTAAAGATTGAACCATTTCACTCTGTGCCTATTTTACCTTGTGGCTATTTAATTAGGTTTATTACCACCATATCCACTCTGCCTTCAGTCACTCAGGAAATATGATGTGGGAGGAAGCATGTGAAACCACCAGAGGATAGCTGTAGTATTTACCAAGCCAGATAAGAGAAAACATGTATCCTAAAGTCAAAATGCCTCCACCCCTACACGAGTGACAGGAAAGGAATATTGTTGTTTGTCTTTCTAAGGTAGGAGCTAGAATCCCTCAAGATGTGGCTCCTACTCCAAGAGAGGAGAGGGAGGATCAAGATCGATGATATGGGACCTTGACAGGATGTTGGAAGCCAAGAGCATTTTCTCTCTTTTGTCACTTCTCTTTTCTTCTTCTCCTCCTCCCCCTTCTTCCTCTCATCATCCTCCCCCTTCTTCCTCAACGCCTCCTCCTCCTCTTCTTCCTCCTCCTTTTTCTTCTACTTCTTCTTTAACTTCATTTCCCCCCTCTCCTCTCTCACTCCCACCCCTTTCAGACATACACACAGATAATTTATCTCCATAGTGGATATGCTTCTTTCTCCTTCCCTCAGCAGGAGGAGACTCATCAATGCCTCCCTCTACATCCCCACTTGCTTTCTCATATCATAATCTCATATGATATGAGAAATAGAACCCATTTGAAAGCCTCAAGAATTTCCTGAGATCTTTACATCAGGGTAGAGTTCACTTGGATTCAGAGAATAGTTCCCATTTTAAGGATTTAAGGTGCATATATCCCAATTTCCAGCATGGCCTCAAAGGAGGTGGGAGCAGCTGTAATTGGCTTTGCTCCAGGCACACCCTCCAGTCTCTCCATCTCTTTACATGACCACCTTTCCCATGGCTTTGGACTCTGGACAGGATTCTGGAACTTAGCAGCATTTCAAGTCACAAGTAGTTGGCTGAGAAGAACCCACCATCTTAGAAACATCAAGGTATCCCTTTTGCTCACGTCTCAATTTGAGGCAGTGAGCAGAGCTCTTCTCCCTTGATTAGGGAGTTTTTCGCTTGAACCTGGCCCATCACCTGCATATGGGATTGTCTGAGCCTCTCAGTGCATCTCCAAGACCCTTCTTTTCATCCTCCCCAGCTAACTCCACTCTCTCCACTCTCCAATCTCATTACTCAACTTTATCCCGCACACTGAAGCCCAACTAAAATGTATGAAGTTTTCCACAATTGACATTTTTGCATCAATCTGAATCTTTGCATATACTGCTTCCCACCAGGTCTGTATTCTTCATCTACTGGGAAAATTCTGCACCTTTGTCTATGTGTTATAGTAGTCTTTTCAATATTTGCAAAACCTAAATATTCCTCTTTTATTTCGAATTTTTAAAAAGAGTTACTGAGACAAATGCCAGATGATTTCATTTATATGAGGAATCTTTTAAAAAACCCACACAAAATAAACAAACAAGTAGAACAGAAACAGACGCATAGATACAGAGAACGTTTTGATGGTTGCCTGATGGAAGGGAGCTTATGGGTAGAAAAAGTGAAGAGCCCTGGCTGGTGTGTTTCAGTGGATGGAACATCATCCTGGGCACCAGAGGGTCTGGAGTTCATTTCCAAGTCAGGTGCACATACCTGGGTTGCAGGTTCGATTCCCTGCACGATTGGGGCATTTTCAGGAGGCAACCGATCAATGTGTCTCTCTCATCTAAATGTTACTCTCTCTCTCTCTCTCTCTCTCTCTCTCTCTCTCTCTCTCTCTCCTCCTCCTCCCCCTCCCCCTCCCCCCT